GGAGTTAAAAATGGTTGATAGTTCTAAAAAAATCAGGCAAAACAGCTGAGTCAAAGCCCAAATCCCAAATATCAAACAGATGTGAAAGACTATGAGATCTCTTATTTCCTCGTGTTTTGAGGTTCGGGGTAAAGCTGTGGCTTCCTTACCTTGAAGGTCATAATGAGATGAGTGAAATGAAACTCGGCCTCCAGGTTCAGCTGGATAGTCACGTTTTCCAAACCTGCAGGGGCAGAGAAAAGAAGCTGTGCAGCAAACAAGGACACCCGCCAGCCTCTACATCTAAAATTTGCCAAAGCTCTTCGCTCCGGTGACGCAGGGACTCTTTTCTTTGCCACTTGGCTCTGTTGTCAAAAAGGAACATGAGGGTTAGTGCGTTACTGAGGTACGGGGGAGACACCAAGAACCTGCTGAAGAGTGTATCGCACATGGGATTCCTGTGCATCATCTGCACCAAACACGTTATACCCAAAGCGTGAGCCTGCACTGCCGTTATTTTAGACTGCGTGACATGGCTAACATCACTAGATGTAGGGTAAGGATGGGGACTGCTATGGGCTGGATCCTGGCACCAAAGCGCCCAGTGGCTGGTACGACTGAGGATGCTGAGCCCAGACCTGCGTGGTGACCCCCGGCTGTCCTCACACACTGCAGCCCATTTGGCAGCAACAGAGCCGCGAGCTTCTGCAGCCCTAACACCCCAAATCTCACCGATGGCTGGTAGGGGCCATTTCCCACCTTTCTTTGCTCACTCTGGACTCTCCTGTCCATCCGGACGCAGGAACAGTTCCTTTACAACCTGGTTTTGAAATACTCCTAAAGCAACTATCACAGCCGTGCTTTGCAACGTGAGGGCTAGGAAACCTTTGGCAAGCAAAAGGTTTTCCAAACTCTGTTTCATGACTACCTACAGCCAAGGACACTACACAGAAAGGAAGAAAAACAGTTACAAATACTATTTTTTCATGTGAAAAGATCTCTCAAAACAGCTGGATACTAATTATACTGTAGTTAGAAATAAAAAAAAAAAATCAAGATTTACGGAGAGGAGAAGGGGTAAGAAATTAAAATAATAAACCAATAAAGCGCTTAAATTTTCAACCAGCTGTAATTTAATGTGGAGCGTGCAGTAATGGTCCCTTCTGCTGTATGCCTGAATAGAAGAAAACATAAATTGGACAGAAAGAATCATTTGTTTTTTATTGTTGAAGGACATTTTCATGACCTTATGAGCTAAGAACTTTTCTGTGTGAATGCTGCCAAGCCTGTTGCAAAAAACATGAATTATTTGGAACGCTAGAAGAGAGCTGCCGGAGACAAGCAGCTTGCTAGTCTGATCTAAATGGTTAAAAAGTATTTAGTGAAAACCTTTCTTCATCGGGCAGCAGAAATGTTACAAATATTACCATTTTATTTTAATATGCAGTAAGACAGCTACTGCCAATGCATTTGCAGAAGTCCCATCCTGTCCAGCTGGCTTTAAGGCTTCAGGGCAGGACTGCTGTTTGAGAAACCTCAATGCCTTGTTTTGTGTACAAAGGCATGCCAAAAGCATAACCATAAAAGTAAAAAGCGCAGAGGAAGCGTAAAGAAAAAAAAAAAGAAAAAAAGCCACCGAACTAACATGCAATATTTTTTTTTAACTAGCTGGCTTGTTTCTGGTATTCGTTTTACTGTTTGGCATATGGATGCAGGAATTCAGGGAGCCCAGGAGGGGGAAGGCAGTTTGCAGGGCAGGAGATGTCCCCGGCTTTGCTCTCCCGGGGTAGGAGGGCAGGGAAGCAGGAGGTCTGCGGGCGGGACGGCGGCCCCCAGCTCTGTGCCCAAACCTCCTCCTTCCACACCCTCCCTCCAGCCCAGCGGCGTGGGGAAGCCCTGCGGTGCTTCCTTGGCAAAGCCGCCTCGGGATATTTACTCCTGGAAGGCTGCTCCACTCCCGCTGCCTGAACATGAGGGAGATCTGGAGCCAGTGTGGGAAACTTTTCTCTTTAGGAAAGGATTCTTGCAAAGTGGTGGGACGGCTCCTTCCAACACACCCAGAGGTCTGACGGGGCTTCGTTGTAGATTAAGGACTGCTCCAGGGCACACAAAAGCAGACAGTTTTACTCAGCATGAGTAAAACAGCATGCTCAAACAGCATGATCCTTCAAAGGGCAGTAATCACCAGGCCAGAGATAACAGCAAACCCGCAGGTACCCTTAAACAAAAGGAGGAAAAGCAGCTCGCAGCCCTGGAAATGGCTCCCGGACAAACCCCCGTACCATTTTCCGACTGCCACCAGAGCTTCAGGCGATTTGGAGCGAACGTGGTGACCACGTTTTCAATGCGATGACTGTCAGGATTGAGAGTATCGTGGAAGGGATCCTTGGAGTCACATACGAAACATTTTTTGTCCTCCTGAAACAACAAAATAATCAACGTTACTGATTTTATCCGCGGGGCAATAGTTGTTTCCTGCAGATAAGAGTATTTTCCATCCATATCACATTCCACTCATTTTGCCTGCAGGAGTCACCAAAGGGGGTTTTTTTGTTGAAATGGTAAGTGTATTTACCTTTATGAATTAATACAAATTGCCAAATGGAAAATATGCCAGGAATTCCATAAACTTTATTTTTAGGAGAAGTATGTTTTCTGTCGAAATTGCAGTTTCAGGAAATCTCTTCCAGCGCGTGTATTCTCCAGAAGAAGTCAGAACCAAAGGCAGCATCTACAGAAAATCTCCGAATTGCTTCTGTACAAATGTACACGTGCAAAACTGCGTCTTCAACAACTTGTGTGAAATAACATCGGCTTTTGGGAGCTAGCTTGGACATCTAAGTTCTTGGCATTGGGGATACCTCTGGTGAGGTTCAATACACATCAAGGGTCCATTCGTGAACTAGTGACAGGGCCCTTTCAGCGCGGGGTTAACTTTACTCTGAATCCAGCTTGTCAAGCTCCTACTTAAACCTTGCATCTTCACCTTTGATTGCAATCCCAAGCTATGCACATAAACCCAGTTTGCACATACTACAAGGTGTGCCCATAAAAAAACAGTTGGGTGCAAGTCTGGCACGTGCTGCTTGGGAAAGCCGGATGATTCTTCACAAGAAGGACAAAAACCCATCATGATTATTACTACAAACAGTGCTATTTTTACATTGTCCCAGTGCCTAAAACCACTACATTCCAATTTTGCAAGGTAGGATGCGAACCAAACCAAATGGGAGGGTTCCTGCCCAAACCAACTCAGAGTTTGGCAGACTGGAGGGGGCAGAGGAGGGAGAGAAGCTCATCGCGCCACAGCAAGGGAGCCCCGGCACACCAGCAACTCTTCACTGTCAAAAGCTATACAGGCATCATTCCTCCAGCAGGTTTATGGAGACAAATGCAGTGCTTTATCAGCCAAGAATGTGAGAGCTGGCGGGTCCGCGCCACACAGGCCTTCCATTTCAACAATTTCGGCTTCAGCAGCTCCTCCCAAGCCCAGCGCTTTGCCCCCACGAGCCCCTGGGAGACTCCTCCAGGAGAGAGCACAGCAAGAGCAGGGGTCCCGAAGAAGATGTCCCCCTGCCCACTTCAGGCTCCTCTCCCCCAGCACCAGAGCCCCCGCCTCATGGCACAACTTGCTCCTTCTCCCACCAAACTTGAATCCTGGAAGGCTCAATCCTACAAAGTGCTCAGCGTGGCCAAGCCCCATGTCCGAGAGGATACTCGGCACCTTCCCGCATCCACAGCCTGACACAGTTTCTTCAATACCACCTTATGGTTCAGAATTAACCAGGGACATCCCAAACGCTGAACTGGGGCTGTGAGATCAGGAGTAAGGGCACACATGAACTCCCGAAGCAATGCTTTTTACTATAGCGCTTCAGCATTTTTTGAGACAAGAAAACGTAACAAAGTGCCTTTGATGTTTTGTTCTACCAGGGATGCTAATGTCGCTAAAGAAGCCCTATTACAGACAATCCTGACATACGCCAAAAATTTTCCAGCAAAGCTAAACCCCGGGTTAAATCAAGTATTAGCTCTAGCAGTACAGTAAAACTAAAGGTGGGGGTGAGATTTGGTAACCTCGGGGCACAAACGGGCCAAGTGCTACAGCCCCTCAGGCAGGGCTCCTCCTGCTTCCCGTGGTTTTCCTTCCAAGTGCCAGAATCCGGCCCTATTGTCTCTGCAGTAAATTCGGCCAGAGATTATCCCCTTACTTTCAGTTCAACGGAGTCCCACTTATAACTGATATTTTATTCTTCTCCACCATCCCTTCTGTCTCAGAGATTTTAAATAAGTCTGGTGAGCTGCTTCTGGCTTGAATAGTAACAAGCTTTGTGTTTTCCACCAGATGTGCGGGACAACCTTATTTGCATCCTTCCACTTGGAGACCATACAAACGTAATTACATTATGGGAACAGCGGCCAAAACACTACCCGGGTCCTACAGACCACTCTCAGTCAGGAAGCTGTCTAGACGGCCCCGGGTAAGTCTGAAAATAAAGTATTAATTGAACTTACTGCGGCACATTCCTCCTTCTTAATCTCGCTGAGGAAAGGGGGGTCGGGAGCCGAAAGCAGCGAGGGGTTCCCTGGACCCGGCTTCCTCTGACGGGGCGTGGGGTCCCGCACAGGGGCACGATGCTGCCCCCCCGGAGACCACTGCCCGCACCTCCCTCCCGCAGGCAGCGGCTCATCCCACCGCACCAGCCCCGGTGATGCCCGCGGGCGTGTGCCC